CTTTATGGATTTATCTATTCTGAATAGTTTATGTAAATGGGATTATTCAATATGTGACCTTTTGTGTCCGGCTTCTTTTCACTTGGCATAGTGTCCTCAGGGTTCATCCAAGTTGTAGTATATATCAGGCCTTCATTACTTTTTATGGCTCAGTAAGTACCCATTGCATGTGCATACCACAGTTTATTTACCCATTCATCTACTGATGGATGTTTGGGCTCTTTCTACCTTTTTGCTGTTGTGAACAGTGCAGCTATGAATATGGATTACAGTTACATGTTTGAGTACCTGTTTTTAATTCTTTTGGGTATGTACCTAGATGTGGAATTATGGGGTCATATGGTAACTCTAATTTTTTGAGGAACTGCTGAACCACTTTACCAGCAAAGTACAAGGGTTCCAAATTTCTCCATATCCTCACCAACACTCATTCCTTTCCAGTTTTTAAAATATTATTATTACAGTGGGTTGAAGTGGGTAGGTGTGAGATGGTACTGCTTTGTGGTTTGGATTTGCATTTCCCTAATGCTAATGATGTTGAACATCTCTTCATGTGCTTGTTGGCCATTTGTATATATTTAGAGAATATTCAAATCCTTTGCCCATTTTCCAACTGGGTTGTTCGGGGGTTTTTTGGTAAGAGTTCTTTATATATTCTGGATGTTAGACCTTGAACAGATATAGGATTCATAAATATTTTCTCCTGTTTTAAATGTTGTCTTCACTTTCTTGTAATTCCTTTTTTTTTGTACTTGATATGTATTTTTTAAATTATGTTAGTCACCATACAGTACTTCATTAGTATAATTCACTTTCTTATAATATTCTTTGTTGCACAAAAGTTTTTTAATTTTGGTGAAGTCCATTGTATTTATGTTTTTCTGTTGTTCCTCGTGCTTTTGGTGTCCTATTTCTGAATCCATTGCCAAATCCACAATGATAAAGATTTACCTCTATATTTTTTTCTGTGAATTTTATGGTTTTAGCGGTTATATTTAAGTTGCTGATCCATTTTTAATTAATTTTCGTATATAGTGTGAGAGGTCCAGCTTCATTTGACTTTTTATAAATGCTGTAAAAACTAAAATACATTTAATTCATGACTTATTTGAAATGTGTTTTTAGAGGTCAGGATGGAGCAGGTTTTGCTGAACCCTGAATCTTAGTGGTTTTTAACAGCACAATTATTTCTTTTACTCACACTGCATGACTCTCATATTGCTTGGGGACTCTGGTTTATGGTATCCATAGTCAAGGATGAAGGCTGACAAAGCTTCCATCATGTGGTCACTGTGAACTTTATGAACTTTTATGTAACTTTTTGTATTTCACCTCAAAATTTTATTTTTTTAACTAAAAAAAAATATAAATTAGGTTTTGGTACTGAAGGAAAAAAAAAAAACATTTAATTTACAGACCAGCACAATACACTCACTAAGCTTTCTAGTTTTTGTAACAACACCTCTCAAAGTCATGAATTAAGTGCATTTTAGTTCTTATAGCTCAGGCTCTTTAAGGCTACCACTTCAACATAATTTCACTCACCAAAGTAAATCATTTAGCTATATCCAGCTTGAAGAGAAAAATGCAATCCTACCAGGTGCCCAGAAGGAGAAGAAAAAAAAAAATTGGTGGTGCACGGTGCCCGCCAGATAACATCACTGAACATAGTGTTTGCAACATATTTGAAGTGTTGGTTCCAAGATACACAATTGAAAAACATCCCCATTTAAGGGGGTTGGCAATTTTTCTTAAAAGGGTATAGTAAAACTTCATTGATTCAAAATTAGAGGTAAATTATATGCTTAACTGTGCTTGCTGAAGTTTACTTTTACATTATTTGGAAAGAAAAATTATTTAGCTAAGTGTAATGTGGGATTTAGTGATGAGAATTTTGGCTTAATTTAGAAAATAATTTTTAACCAGTTTCATAGGAAGTAATTCAGTGATGCTTACCAGTAGGGGTCAGCCACAGCCCGTGCAAAGTGCTGCTTACTTGTCAAGGCTTTTTGGGCAGGTACTAATAAGGGGTTGGGTCCCCCCCCCCCCCCCAGTATTCTAATGAACAGTTTTGTTAAGGTCAACTTGCTTATTTTTAAATAAAAACAGTGTATCTACTTGTTAATAAAGATAGGGTAACGGCATCATTAGCAGGAGAAACATTATTCCGTGCTTAATTGTGTGTGGAGCTGTATAGCTCGAAAGAGCTAACTAAGTTCTCATGGGAAGATTAGAATAATGTTTGATGGTACCAAGTAGGCGTCTGGAAGGAACGACCACAGGTCCTGTGAGTCAGCCAGATGTGACACCGATTGTTGCAGATAGAACAGATGAGGCTTTTTTCTGGATAAGCCTTTCCTTTTCAGAGAAACAGCTGTTATTATATTAAACCTTTTATTGACCCCTCCCCCCGACATTCCCCCATCCCCAACTGCCTAGTTTGCCTAGGAAGGTTTGTATGTATGTCCATAAATGGAAGTGCATATTCTCCTTCATAGAGGAGATACCAATACTGAAAGAAACATTTTGAGGATTTGGACAGATCCAAGAGTAACATCTGAGGAAAGACTTGTTGTGAAGGATCTCATTGCATATATTAATATCAAAACATATAAAACAGGGGCGCCTGGGTGACTCAGTTAAGCATCTGCCTTCGGCTCAGGTCATGATCCCAGGGTCCTGGGATCAAGCCCCGCATCCAGCTCCCTGCTCTGCGGGAAGCCTGCTTCTCCCTCTCCCACTCCCCCTGCTTGTGTTCCTGCTCTGGCTGTGTCTCTCTCTATCAAATAAATAAATAAAATCTTAAAAATATATAAAACAAAAAAAGAATCAGCATTTGAAAACGAAATACAAGTGATTTTATAAAAAATTAGTACTCAAATGCTTCTTTGTCTTCATAACAATATTTGTATTCAGTATTTGGCTATCAAAAGGACAAGGATATATGTATGTATAAGCAGCTTTGGATGCTGTTGTGAAGTATTTAAATACATCAGTATATCAACTGAAATTAGTAATGTCATTTCCTTGTTTAAAATAAACCAGTGGATTTTTATTGTGTTCAGAAGTTGTTTAAAAAGTTTTCCCATAGTATAAGATATAAGCTCTAATGATCTCTTCCATGCCACTCTCTGCAAAATCATTATAGACCTTCGTACCCTATGGCCCAGACATAGCAAATTAATGGTATTTCTCTTACTGAGTGTTTAGAGCCCAAATTGGATAAATTATGATTGATTACTCAATTACGTAGCAGTTTATGCTGTGGGTACCACATTTTTTAATGTAATGTTTTTTCAATTATATGAGACATGCTTACCATTAAAAATTCAAATTATACTAAAGTAGATGGAAAATAGCAACCCTAGTCCTTTCCCTAATGATAATCATTGTTACTAAGTTTCTATATGAAAAATTACTTTGTTACAAATATAAAACTGTCTAGTCTTTCACTTTTGTTTTTCCATTAACACGATTTTTTTAGAGGTAGGTGGGGCAGAGAGAGAGAGAGAGAAAGAGAGTGAGAACCTTAAGCAGGCTCCATGCCCACCGAGCCCTACACAGGGCTCTATTTCACAACCCTGAGATCCTGACCTGAGCTGAAATCAAGAGTTGGACGCTTAACCGACTGAGCCATCCAGGTGCCTGTTTTTATGACAAGATTTTTGAAAATGAAAGATCTGTTCAGTAGTACTGTTAGGGAGTTAAAGCAGAAGAGATTGTGTTTGCAATTTCCCAGACATACCTCCCTCTCTCACCTTTTCTGTTGCTTCTTGTGCCTAGAAAGCTAACTGGAACTCTTTCTCCCTGCCCCACAGCAGCCTCTGAAAATTTATGTTTGTCTTTCAGGACTCAAGCCACACCTAATTACTTCTAAAAAACTATTCCTGATTCTTTGTTGTTGATATCTAGCCTACCCTACAGTATGTTTGAGTGTAGAATAAAATATATATATATATTTTGTAAAAAAAAAAAAATATATATATATATATATATATATATATATATTACTCCCAACTCAGTATGCTCCTCTAGTCTCAACAACTCCTGTCTTTGTGTAAATTTGAACCGTGTGCGTGCGCGTGCACGCACACGTGAGCGAGTGAGAGAGAAAGGCTTTCAGTTACTTGTAGGAGGCTTTTCCTTTTACCCAGTGCCTTCAGCAGAGACCTGCTTGCAGTCTGTGAGTGGAATTTCTGATCTTTACATGGAAGGGCCAGCCCTTCCAGCACTCAGTCTGTGTAAGGTACCTAGATTCATCTGCCTTCCCCATGGCCTGTTTCCTATCCCTGCCACACCACACCCCTTAGGACCTGTGGCAGGGTCTGCCACTCCCCTGGATCACGAGCTCCAGCTTACTCTGGTTACCCTGAGCTTAGTTAGGTCTTGGTTTCTGGCACCTGGGGATTTCCCTTATTTTTTTCTGAGGCACATGATTTGCGAGTTCGGGGTGGGGGGTGAATGTTAGTTTTCTAGGGCTTCTTTACCAAATGACACAGGCTAGGTGGCTTAAAACAACGAAGTTTATTCTCTCACAATTCTGGGGGCCGGAAGTCCAAAATCAAGGTGTGGGCAGGGTGGGTTCCCTCTCAGGGCTCTGAAAGAGAGAATCTGTTCCTTCCTTTCTCCTTGCTTCTGGTGGTTGCCAATGATCCTTGATGTTCTGTTGGCTGTGTCACTCTAGTATCTGGCTCCATTGTCAGATGGCTTTCTTCCCTCTGTGTGTGTTAAGAACAGTTTAGTTTCTTCCATGACTGTGGTGGAATACAAGGTTTCTGGTTTCTCTGAGAGAGATTGATTTTTAAGTGTTCAAATTTATAGGTTTATATTATAGTATGAGCTATGTAAGCATAAAACCCAGACCTGCTGCTTTATTATTTTTGCATTATTTTCTCCAGATTTACAACCCCCCCAAAAGATAGTACTTTGTGTTTAAGCTCATTAGAAATGTTTATACATTTTTCAAAAATAAAATTTAATTCTGAGTTTTTAATTTTCAGCCAGAAAACCTTGCTCAGAAGCTTCCAAACCTTGTGGAACTGTGAGTCTGTTTATTCAAATTTTTTAAAAAACAAGAATGAAAATAATTTTATTTGAAATAATAGGATATATCATTTTAATGTATTAATTTATTTTTTGGTATCATGGTCATAGTGTTCATGTAAGTAGTTCTGCTAAACCCAATAATATTTTAAAGTATTTTACCATTTAAATTTGTGTTTTAAATATCTCACCTTAAGGTAGTAAAGATAAACTTTTTAAAGCTATGAAAGATACATTTTTTTCTCGGTGCAGCCTCTTGGTCACAAAATCCTTCTGGACAGTCAGTGTAATTGGAAAAGTTTATTGCTGTTACTACTACTATATTTGTTACTTGATGTAAACAGTTCAACAGTGTAAAAGGGTTAAAATAAAGAATGAAATAATGAAGAGTGAAAACCTACTTCCCTGTGTCCTCCATACCTCATTTGTTTTTTAGTTTTTTTTTTTTTAAGATTTTATTTATTTATTTGACAGAGAGAGAGCGAGAGCAAGAACACAAGCAGGAGGAGTGGGAGAGGGAGAAGCAGGCCTCCCGCCGAGCAGGGAGCCCGATATGGGGCTCGATCCCAAGACCCTGGGATCATGACCCGAGCCGAAGGCAGACGACTGAGCCACCCAGGCGCCCCTTTTTTTAGTTCTTTTGACGATCACCTCCATAATGCTAAATAATATGTTTACACCTTTGTTTTTTAGTGCATCAACTTTAAGGATCTCTTGATTTATCTGTAAGGAGGATATTTAGAATCTTTCCCTTTCTTTCCAGCTCCCTCCTAATTTTGTTGAAGGAGGAGTTTGCATTGCCATTTCTTGTTCTCTTTATTATTTTGCATGATTTTCAAGAGGTAAAGGAAGGAAAACTAACATTACACTTCCATCTTTAAGCTGGGAGTTTGTCATTTCCACTCCCCCCATCCTTTTATTTTGAAAAATTTCAAACTAACAGAAAAGTTGAGAGCATAGTACAATGAATACCCATATATGCTTCATCTAAATTTAATAGTTAACATTTTGACACATTTGCTTTCTCTTTCTGTCTCCTATCATCTTCCTCCCCCCTTCCCTTTCCAGTCCTCTCCCGTGCACACACACACACACACAAATTTTAGACATTATGATACTTCACCCCTAAATAGATCAGTATGTATCTCCTAAGAATAAGGGCAATCTTGCACATAATTCTAATATTATCACACATTAAAAGTAATATTAATTCAGGGGCACCTGAGTGGCTCAGTCAGTTAAGCGTCCAGCTCTTGGTTTGGCTCAGGTCATGATCTCAGGGTCGTGAGATCGAGCCCCGTGTAAGGCTCCACACACCAGATGTGGAGCCTGCTTAAGATTCTCTCTCTCCCTTTGCCCATCCCCCTGCTCATGCTCTCTCTCAACAAAAAAAGTAATATGAATTCAGTAATATCATCTAATGTACATTGTATATTTAAATTATCCCAATCTCCCTCCCCCGCAACCCAGTGTTTTAAACTAGTGTACAGATTTGTCTGATTTAAACATCTTTGGTGATTTTTCTATCCCACTGCTTTATCAAGTTTTTAATTTCATTCTTTTTATATATGAAGAAAGATGTCTTAACATTATTTTAAGTCTACTTTTGTTTTTATAGGTTCTTTACAGTTTCCTTCATATAGGTTTTGAACATTTCTAAAGTTTATTCCTAAACATTTAATATATATTTTTTGCTAGCGTAAATGCATTTTCTTACCTGTTACCTCTTTTAAGTGGTTATTTTTGAATATATGAGCACTGTTTGTTTTCATGTGTTAACTTTATATCTTGCTACCTTGCTGAAATCTTATTATTTGAGTTAGTTTTATGGTTGATTCCTCAGGGTCTTTCAGGTATACTCTCTCCTGAAAATACAGATAATGTTGTTTCTTTTTTTCTAAACCTTATGCCTTTAATTATTTTCTCTAGTCTGATCGCATTGGCTAGTTCTTCCAGAACAGTGTGAAATTATACTTGAGACAGTGGGCATCCTTGTTTCTTTCTGACCTTAGTGGGAAAGCCTCCAGGGTTGCCCCATAAGAAAGATACTGGCTTTACAATTAATGTATATGTATTCTATTGTGTTAAGTAAATACCCATTTGTATTAATCTATTGCTGCTTAACAAATTTAATGTAGTGGCTTAAACTGTGGGTAGGGATGCTTAAAAGAATAAATACTTATTACCTCATATTTTCTGAAGATCTAGAATCAGGGCTTGGCTTAGCTGGGTGTCTTGGCCTCAATGTCTCTTTCAAGGCTTGCAATCACGGTTGTTGCCCAGAGCTGCTGTTTTCCCTGAAGGCTCAACTGAAGAAGTGTCCTCTTTGTTTACTTATGTGGTTGTTGGCAAGATTCAGTTAATCTCAGGTTGTTGGTCTGAAGGTTGACTCAGTTCCTTGCTGGCTCTTGGCCAGAGGACTGACTCCCTTAGTTCCTTGCCAGTTGGCCTCTCTGTAGTGTCGTTCCCAACATGGCAGCTGGCTTCCATTAGTGCAGGGAAAAAAAGAGCAAGAGAGGGTATGAAGGCCGGATCCACAGTCTCTTTCTAATCTAATCATGAAGTGACATCCCATCACTTTTACTATATTCTGTTCATTAGAAACAAGTCAGTAGGTCCAGCCCACACCTAAGGGGAGGCTACTACCCAAGGGCCTAAATGCCAGGTGGTGGAGATCAATGGGGACCATCTTGGAGGCTACCTACCACACCATTAATTCCTACTTTCTCAAGAATTTTTTATTAGTAATGGATGTGGAATTTATTCAAAGCCTTTTTCAGACTTTAAAGAAAGAATTCTTGAGGCCTTCAGGCAAAAAAGTGAAACTATCATGAAGATGAAGAAGACTGCAAAGTAATACTCCAAACTGTATTATGTATACAGTGGTGGTTGCATTCACACTTGACAGTGTTTTTCTTTGAGCACTTTAAAAGTATTTTTATATATATGTAATTAATTATATATAACATATGTATTACATAAGAAATAACAATAAATATATTATAAGTAAGTTATATAATATAAATGCATAAATAATGTATAATTCTGTATTATGTATATTATATATAATAAGAGGGATTTTAATCATTTTCCACATGTATTAATTCATCATTTTTCTATGGCTACTTTCGAGATTTTCTTTTTTGGTTTTCAGAAATTTAACTGTGATGTACCTCAGTATTATAATTTTGTTTGTATTTATGTTGGAGTTGGCTGAGCTTCTTGAATCTGTGAATTTATGTCTTTTCCCAAATTTGAATATCTTCAACCATTATTTCTTTGAATATTTTTTTTTTTAAAGATTTTATTTATTTATTTGAGAGAGAGAATGAGATAGAGAGAGAGAGAGCATGAGACAGGGGAGGGTCAGAGGGAGAAGCAGACTCCCTGCCAAGCAGGGAGCCCGATGCGGGACTCAATCCTGGGACTCCAGGATCATGACCTGAGCCGAAGGCAGTCACTTAACCAACTGAGCCACCCAGGCGCCCTTCTTTGAATATTTTTTATGCACTATTCCCTTTCTCCTTCCTGGGCACCATTTACACATATGTTACGTCTGTTGATGTTGTCCTATGTTCCTATAAGGCACTATTCATGTTTCCTTAGTCTTTTTTTCTCTCTGCAGAAGTGGAGAGGGGCAGAGGGAGAAGCGGGCTCCCTGCTTGATGTGGGGCTTGATCCCAGGACCCTGGGATCATGACCTGAGCCAAAGGTAGATACTTAACTGACTGAGCCACCCAGGTGCCCCTTCTCTCTGCGTTTTAGATTAGATCATTTATATTGATCTTTCTTCAAGTTCATAAACTCTTTCCTTTGTCATATTCATTCTGTTATTCAGCTTTATCAGTACTCTTTTCAGTTTTAGATCTTTCTTTTGTTTGTTCATTCATCTGTCCATCCTTCCTACCTCCCTCCCTTTTTTCCTTCCTTCCTACCTAAATTTCCCATCTTTACATTACAGGCATATCTTACTTTAGATCACTATGTATAGCTGTAATAACTACATAAAAATTTCTTGTCTGCTGATCCCAGCATCTTGGTCATCTTGAGCTTGATATCTATTGTTTGTTGTTGTTAATGGATCACATTTTTTTGAGTTTTCATATGTTGAATAACTTTAGATTATATCCTGACAATTGGGAATGTTGTGTTTTGGAGACTGGAATCTGTTATGTACATTCAAAGGGTGTTGATATTTTTGCTTAGCAGGCACTTTACCTGGTTTGACTTAAGCAGTAAATGTTTCCTGGAGGGCAGCTAAAATCTCAGTGCAGTTCTTTTACCTTTAGCTGCAGTTTTTTCTATATTTGCATGGTTCTGGGATTGCCATTGATTTAGGCAAAGTTTAGAAATAGAATTTGGGGTTCCCCTTCCCTGGCTCTTTTTTTCTGGTATTCTCCCTTTATTTGCCAGGTATGGTTGCCCTGAACTCTGTCTTCCTGTTCTTTAGGCTAGTAAGACTGAAGTTTTCTATCAGAATTTTAGCTGCTTTGCATGGTAACTGTACCCTGCCTTAAACTAAATCTGTTTAAAAAACAAAACAAAACTCAAAACTCACCCAGTGCCATTCCTTCTTCTAAGTTTACACTCTTCACCAGAATTGGCTTGTTTTTGTTTACTCTGCAGTGTCTTAGAGTCGTCTGCGTGTGTGTGTGTGTTCTTTAGCATTTTAGTAGTTATCTGCCAAAGGATCAGTCCAGTAGGAGTTTATTCTGCTATACTGAATTGGAACTTGCATTCTTTTCTTCTAACCACTGTGTCTTTATACTTCAAGTGGGTTTCTTGAAGTCAACATTAGTTGGTTCTTTGATTTTTGACCAATCTGACAATCTCGGCTGTTTAACTGGAGTGTTTTGTTTTGTTTTGTTTTTTGGTGGAACTTTTTTTTTTAAATTTTTTATTGTTAATCACCATACATTACATCATTAGTTTTTGATGTAGTGTTCCATGATTGATTGATTGTGCATAACACCCAGTGCTCCATGCAGAACGTGCCCT